ACCAAACAAAGTTTTATAAAAGGAACTGGAAGACCACAAATAAAGGGCTGTGAAGCATCCAAATCAGGAATAATTGTTTAGGCCCTGCAGCAGGTAAAGCAGGTTTTCAAATGTCTATTTACAATGACTACTCCTAGTATGTTTAACAACTAAAAGCTGTTGATAACATGAGAGTTGAGTGTCCTGTGCAAAATAATTCTGTATTGTTTGTTTAGTTCCCAGTGGAGAAGTGTCTGTCTTATGCAAAGTCAAATTTACTGTTGTGTTGGCTTTAAATACACCTTTTATGCAGTCAGTAGCAAACAAAATCTGGGTGAAGGTGAATCACCATTATTACAGTGGGGTCCCGAATTGATGAGCCAGTCCCTCAAGACTGCAGAATCCAGGTCAGTGTTAGATGAGCAACAAATGGATTTCTGGAGGCCTGCTGCGAGGATGTGCTGACTCTTGTGCGAAATGGTGCGATGATCAAAGTCTTCTACCTAACCACTGTCTTCTGGAATGTTTTTTCCTGTGTGTTTTGTTTTCCTTTCTACATCCTAAATAGAATGCATAAACTGCCATAGTTGCACATGTCAATGGTTAATATGAAACTGAGCTGAAGCATGTGTTTCAGAAGATGAACTAACTCTGTATGCACACAAACTATACAGATAAAATTGTCAGCATACCTATGCAACTCCTTGTCCTTCATAAGGTAGCACTTCATAGCAGCATGGTTCCAGTGATCTTCCTGGGTGTCCAAAGGTGACCATCCAAAGGCTGGAGCAGAACAGGGTCGTACTGAACAGTCTCATTCCTCCTTCTCACCAAGTCATTCCTGTTTTGAAAAATTGTGGGGAGCTGCAGATGCTCGGACCTCTAAAGAGTGCTGTTCTTTATGGTAGGTTCCTAGCAGGTCTGACAGTGTTAATGGCTGTAGGAATAACTGGATAGAGGAACTTGAGTCTCTCATTCTTGTAGAGAGCACAGAGCCAAAATAGAAAAGCACCCTACGTAGAAACTTTCTAAAAGATCTGAATGTGGGATAAAGGTCTTTTCCTCACATTGTTTAGTGCAAGATCGGCAGTGAATAAAGATTGCTGTTTATGAACTGTGAAGAGATGAGGCGCTCCTAACCATATAAGTAAAAGCTGAGACTGGAAATGATGCAAGAAAGTTAGAAAGTTTGTTTGTGATTGATTTCATCCAGGTATTCAGTGCAGTCAAGAATAAAAGCAAAGTGGTATGATTTTATTGCAACTCCCTTGTAATATGTCTGCAAATCATAAACAGTCTTTCTCCCAGAGCCCACAGTGTAGTTGTGATAACAGACTTGAACTACATGTTATCTATCGCTGTCCATTGGACTGTAGAAACAATCAGCGATTAGCTTAATCTAGGTGCTGAGTAATGGACAGCTAAACTTAGTGTCAACAAAGGTTCTAAAAATGAGACCTAGGAGATCTGGTTGACTGTAACTTGTGTCATGTATAGTAACTGGAGTTGTGGTCATGTTAATTCTGGTATTTCTTGCTTTAAAAAGAACAAGGTTAGAGTAAAAACAGAAATTCAGTCATGAAGTAAAAAATAAACCTTGAAAATGAGGAGTTCTGTCACTCACATTCATTGTCCTTGTGTGAATTTTGCTGCCTATGGTTTATGTGGTTATTTGTATTTCTGCAAAGCAAGTAATCAGTGTTATCGGGTGGCTCACATGGGTACGGATGGTACATGCAATGGTAAGTGACACAACTGGAATTACAGAACTAACAGTGGAAAGTATTGATATTACTAACTACTGCATTAATTCAACCTTCTAGATCTGGGAGCAGAGGAATTTAGGGAACGGATGAAATTGGTGATATCTCTTCTTTTTTTTTTTTTTTTTTTTTTTAATAATCTTCCATTCCTGTGGCTGTGGGGCTGGGACCATTACTCAGAGGGCTTCGTTTTCCAGTGGAGAACAGAGCGCAAAGTGGTGCCGAGACCTTTTTCTGCTCTCCTGCCTCATACAACCTCTTTCACTTCTCTGCTGGAGGGAAGTCCCGTTTCACCGGACGCACATGCACACAGCTGCTCTGCCCTGTTCCTTTGCTGGGAATAGGGAGGGAGCAGCACAGCACACCGGGGAGCAGGCCAGGACACTAGTGCCCCAGCTCACAATGTGGGCGCCTCCGTTTTGATCTCTTTTGTTACCACATAACTTTTGAATTGTGGCACGAAAATTATTTTTGTCTTCCTTGAAGATGAAATGTAAGGGTTGTAAACTAGCGGTGGGTTCATATAATGTGATCTGAAATGCACCTGATTTTCACCTGGATAAATTCTTAAGTGCGGTCAAATTTACTCTGGAGCTGTATCACTTTGTCACAAGAGTGAAGTCTGGATCTTGGAGCTGAATGGTACTTTTCTTTGCTCTTGGAGGGGGACAGAGGAAAGAACAACTTGGGTAATTCACATTTCTGACTAATGAAATCCATATCAACTGTGTTTGTTTATTTTTAAGTAATACTCACAGGTTATGCTCTTATTCCTTATTTTACCTGTGATATTTTATACCCTCCAGCAGGTGCTGCTGCATCCTGCTAAAGTCTTCTTTGTGGAAGAAAAAAAAAAATCAGTCATTTGATTTAATAGTATGCAACTGGACTTTGCTCTTTGTTTTGCATCATGAACGTATTTGTATTCTCTTTCCTTCCTCAAGTTTTTTGTAGCCCAGTGACGAAGGAGGGAATTTTTATGATCCCAGCATATTTTATCCTGCAAGTGCCCTTTGTAAGAAGGGGTTGAAGATCAGTGGGAGTTGCTTATCAAGGCCATGCTCAGAGCAAATTGAACAGACACAGGTAGAAATGCATTTGGTCACATTTTGTAGAAATATAAATGTGTTTTCTTAAAAGTAAAAAATACTTATTAAATTAAAGTTATAGAAGTTTCTAGTTGGCTCATTGGTTTTCCCAAGTTTCTTGAGCTTTAGTCATTTAAGCTCATGATTTTGTATCAGTCTTATCATTAGCCTAATAGCTGCTCTTGAATGCTAGAAGTTTGCAATACAGATTACACAGCACATGTTTCAGAATCTCTTATTTAGGATTTCCATGTGAAGAACTGTGGCTGAGTTACATACAGAAAATATAAAGGGGAGATGTGCTTCATTTGGTTTGTTGACAGACCGCTTGTGCCAGGCAGGAATTTGTGGGTAGTAATAGTTGAAATTAGGCCTTGGTATGTGTTACATATCCTTGAAGTTCTTGAGTTGCACCAGACCAGAAATACACTCATGAGCTAAGAGATCTCATTGATCTCTGACACTTACCTGCATCTTTGTACTGTATTGCTGGTTCCATGTAGGGAATTGAAATTCTGCTGTAGTGTTTTTCCTCACTGTTACAGTGATTAAACCTGGTTGTGACTCTGATTTTGGCACTTTTGGGGTTATCTGGGAGCCTTAGAAGGTGAATCAAGTTTAATAAGCTGAAGTATTGGCTTGCTTTTGATATTTAACTTTATTAGTAGACTAAAATGTTCAATATAAGAATAATGACAGTAAACTACAATCATAAATCTCAGGCAGGCAGCACCTGCTACTCTACCATGTGACACAGCATGTGTTCCCCTGGTCATTCTGTTTGGAGATGGCTGGAATTAGAATCAATCTCTCTAACCTCTCTTCTGTGTTTCTTTTAGAAATCCAACCTGGCTGTGGCAGTTACCTCAGGAAATTAAAAGGATGTGTCAGGAGGAAAACACTTTTACTTTTCCTTTTGGCTCAAACCCAAAAGGTTAAATATAATTAGATTCTAAGAATTCTGGTACTAATCTACATAATCCAGATGCAGTAAACATATAGATAAAAAGTCTTTAGTCAATAAGGTCTGAAATTCTTGTAACTTTGATAAATTCAGATTTGGATCTTTAATGAGTTTCAGCTCTATTGATTTCAGAGGCTCTGGAATGTGTATCTGTCTTTAAGAGGTCAGGTCATTTTATGCTAAAGCTGGAAGAATTAATCTGCTTTAGATTCTGTGGAGTTTTGTGTGCCTGTCCATCCTTTAGAGAAAAGGAACCGTATCTATGCAAGGTGGCTAACTAGATTGCTAAAGTCAAGTGGCGTTAACCCGACTTTGGAAGCTTGGGTCTATGTCTTATGACATGGAGATATATAACCTAAATGTGATTATAAGTAATTGATATATTAAGTATACTTAATAATAGTTAACACTTATGCAGTGCTTTCTTTTCCTAGATTCCAAGGCAGCTCACAAGACTTTTTACAGTTTTGGCCCAAGTTTATAGATGAGAGGATGAAGTTGCTAAATGTGAAGTGACTGGTTCAAGGTCCTAAAGTGAACCAGTGGCAAAACTGGAGAGTTCAAGTCTGATGCCTTTTTCTGTGGATATACCACTCTATAATTTCTTTTTATTTGTAATTTTTCATAAATGATCACCATGTGTTGATGGTGGTGTAAGTAACCACCGAAACGTTGCAGATGATTGCTTGTATTGTTTGAGGCAGAGTTGCCTTGTTTTTCCTTGAAGCTAGGCTTTTGTATGTTGAAAATACGAGTAAATGGGTGAAGTCTGCGTTTCTACCTCTTTACACAAAATGTACATAAGATTTCCAGTAAAACTATTTTGACTTCCTGTGAAAGAATACATATTTTTTACCATAGCTTTGTAGTACTGATAGGTGCTTTGGCTGTTCTTCACTGTACTTGGCCAGGCTGTATCTGGAAGAACAAAAAGTGATTACAGCTCCTAAGATATGGTTACCAGCAGTCAGATCGATGAAGGGGTTAAAAGTGAGACAGCCCTATCTTTTACTTCAGTGGAGGTGTAGTTGTTGATTTAAAGCGCTCAGTAAATGATTGTTGGAGATCTGCCATGTGTAGCAGAGCATTCAGAAAGCATACCACAGACTCTGCTTTGTCCCAAAGAGCATTTGTCTGGCAACATCTCACTTTAATTGTAGTCTTTTAAGGTACCAGAAGGCAGGCAAAACTCACCAGCCAGCAGTCATGGAAGACGAGGTCTTTAACAACATTTATCAGAATGCTAACACCACCGATATCTGTGAGATTCCAGACTCTGAGGAAGACAAAGGGGATGATCTTTATAGTCATGACCATGAAGATCCAGCATCTCCTTCTTCCATCACTACTATCCCAGAGAGCGTGGCTAGTAGTCAAGAGGGCTCAGAAGACAGCAATTCTGTGGACTCTCAGCATGGGGCTGATGAGGAGGATGGTTCTTCTTCATCTCTCCATGGTGCTGAAGAAGACCACCCGTACCAGGAGATGGAACTGATGAGCCCGACTCTGGAAGATAAACACGTAGAAGGCATGATGTTTGACAGCAGCACGCATTTTCCTCCAGGTTTCCAGTTGCGTCGGAGCCAGAGCACCTCTTCCACCTCCTCAACTTCCCTCAAGTTTCCCTTTAACAACAACTTTGGAGAAACTGACAACTTTCAGGAAGATTATGAGATTTTCATGTTTGTAAAGGTAAGAGTGTGGGTGCTCCTAAGAATACAGTAGTTTTAAACCCCAAATCAATGTATGTGTCCTCCAGATCAGTAAAATGCAGCTACCTGCTGCTTTGTTCCCAACTCTGCTGCCTCTGTGCTGAGGGGGCCAAGCCATTCACTTACCTCTTACACCTTAAGGCACAAAAAGAGAAGATTTGTGTTGTGTGGAGATGCCTGGAATTTCTTCTTTCCAAGTGGAAGTATGAGTATGGTGAAAGTATCCTGATTGTTGCTGCAATTCATTTATTCTGTGGTATCTCCCTGCTGTTACAGCTAGACTATTACTACTTGAACTGTTTTAGTTAAGCTAGTTCAGCTATCCCCGTGTTTCACTTTCTATCTAGTAGCTAACAGCTCAAAAGAGATAGTTATTCATGCTATAAAGATGACTAAATATATAGTTTAAATAATGGCAATAAAATTTCCACAGATATCCCCGAAAGAGGTCTTTCTTTTATTTCTGTGATTATTTAGATGAATGTATTTCTGTGATTATTTAGATGAATGTATTTCTGTGATAATTTTAATGTGTTTTTCATTAATTTCAAGTTAAGTTTAAATTACTGAAGGGACTTTCACACTTTCTCTAACCTTGTAAAGTATTACTTAGATTTCTAAACCATAAACACCTGTGTTCTTAAATAAACACGATACTTCTCTTCATAAAAGCTCTTGTTTTCAACATTTCTCAATATTTATTAGGCCGTAACACAGACCTGACAGTTCCTTCTTTTTAACTACGTAAGAGAGAAATATTTAAGTTCTTGTTTCCCTTGAATAGGACCATACACCCTAAGTGTGATACTGTTGTTTCAACAGAAGTCTTGTGAAGTTTGTCACTTTTCCACATAAATAAGATTATCAGAATCTGTTCCTCGGTTCTGCAGGTGCTTTGAAAACAGGATTAAGAGATTTTGTTACCACACATAGTGAGAAATGTTTTCAGCAATGTCTGTATTTCGTTAATTTAGTTTATTGAAGCAAGAACACGCTGTAATGTTTGCAGTGGGGTGAGATGCTGGTTATCTTGTATGAGCTAGGGGAGATCAAATGGCTTGGTGGACTCTCCTGATACTTCATTTGGTTTCTGTTCTAAATCTTGGATTTCTTGGAAAACTGAGTTAGTTAAAAAGTTATCCGACGTTTACTTGTAGGGTAAAGGAGATTGTTTCCATAAAGTATCAACAGAATCTTGAGATTCTTTTGAATACATTAAGAAAGTTATGATTTAAATATTTTTCCTTTGTGTTATGTCTTCCTGTAGATGAAAACTTGAAGGGGGCTTCATGTCTCCCTTCTCTATGTGACAGTCCTTTGTGATTACTTTTCTAATTTTTGCATAAAGATAGACCATTTAAATTATTGAGAAATTAAAAAAACCCAACCAAACAAAATGGAGATGGCTGTCAGGTTACTTTTTCTGCATAAGACAAACAGCATCAGCTGTTTCTCTTGAAATTCAGTATAACTACAGCTACTCATCTAAAAAAATGTGTATCCTTCAGGAGAGGGAGTATCTACTACTTGCTGGGTCATGAATCGTTCTGGGTCCATGCGTATTACCAGAAGGGGTTTTTGCTACTGATTTCTGTAGAAGTGGGCTATGAGAGCCATGTGTGAGGGCACTTGGCCTTTGTCTTATCTTCCTAGTACTTACGCTGTATGACTCTTTGAAGCGGCAGCTGTCCTATTTCTGTGACTGGATCGTGGTTGTTGCTGAGAATATATTAATTATGCGGGCAAAGTAATATCTATGGTGGTGTTTCTAGTTCATAACTCTCCTTGTAGTCCTGCATACGTGTACCAAAAGTTGCAGCAATTGAGCATATTTTCTTTGTTAGTAAATTCATGGTGTTAGCAACGTGAATGTTGTATTTTGACTTTAAAATAATCTCTCTTTGTTCCTTAATCTTTCACGTTGGTCTTGTCTCAAGGTAGTGGTGTCCTCTCTTTCCATGCATGAAAAAAGAAGATGCATGCAGATGCTCCTATTCAAGCAGAGATGATGAGGTTAACTTGAATTTCTGAAAAGTGAGAAGAAGGGCATTTTGAAAAGAACTATCATGGAGAAAGGATTGTGGAAGTCCTTTTCCTTGCTTTTGTTGTGCAGCATAGCGGAGTATCCCATAAAGGGGCTTATCAGCTAGTCTAGAGACAAGCACAAACTTTGGACTATTCACTTGCCTGAACGTAAGTGCCTAGTGCCGTCTGGGATGTCCTTGAGCCCCAAGACATCCCTGCCTGGCTGGAAGATGTGGCATGAGGCTTTCAGGTGATCTGTACTCTGATCCTTCTCCAGCAGGAGCTGGAGGCCTGGTGGGCAGGGTGCTGGATACTTCTGTGTGGGGGCCTGAACTGAACTCCTACGACAGCATTTTATTCCTTGAGAAACTGATGACGTTTTCATTTTTGGATTTTTGCTTCTCTTTCTGGTATTGAGGTAATAAAGCACAAACTCCATGAGTGCAGAGCCAGCTTCACTATCTTTAATTCTCTAGATAGCAAAAGTCAGCCTGTAGAATGGAAGGTCATAGAGTAATATATAACAAGAATTGTGAAATACCCGAGGGCTATCACTTCTTGCACGTAAGAACCAAATCTCTCAGTTGTGTCAGTGGCCATTATTCACAGAGGGTTCCTTTCTGATATGGTCTCTAGTCCACCTGAGGCCAGAGTTGCTCTGAAGTTGGGTTCATCTTCTGGATCTGCTTTTCTGCAGACACTAACAGTGACAGCAGGACCTTTTGCTATGGGAGAATAGTGGTAATGACAATTCTGCCACGACTTAGCCTTTCCTTTATAGCACTAATAACCTCTGTGAGTGGCTGGAAACATGAGTGTCAGACAGAGGTTGCTGCTGACTGAAAACCAGAGAAAGTGGGAAGATTAAATGGTATCTGACCTGCAGTCTAGATGGTTTAGTTGCAGTGTGCTGCCTAGAATAGAAATTTAACTTCATCAGAATATTGAAAGTGCTGTTGCTTCAGGACCGTAGTTTCAGACTTGACAACCTTTTCTGTAGTCCGTTCTATGTCATTAGACACCAAGAGAATGTTTAAATCCCATTAACTCATCTTTCACTCATTATCAGTACTCGGTAACTATGTCATCGTCGGTGGACTATTTCAGGATGTGCCGTAAGGTGAAAAATTTTGGCTTTCACCAAGGAATTCCCTGTACCTAATAGCAGAATATAGCATGTACCAACATGGAGATGTTTGTGTGAATCCAGCATGTCCAGGCTTGTCACAGCCACCTTAATGCCCTTTCAGTAACATTGTAATTTCTTCAAACAAAAGCCTTTGAAATTTGAGCAGAAATAGGTTGACATAGGGGCTGTGTAACTGAGTGCATAGAGCAGCTTGACCCCATTGTAGCTGTTGCTCAGAGGTCCTTTTCACTTGTATGCTGCATTTCCCTGGTTAGCAGTGTGTTTGTTCTGAAGGTTTCTTTGAAAATTTTAGCTTTTTGTTTTCCTGAAGCTTGAGTTGTTATTTAAAGAATAGTCCCTCTATCTTCTTTTCAGGAGAAAATTATTGCCCTTCTGGTTTATTGACGACCTGAGGTTGGCTACACATTATACTGTCTCTACACATTTGTGCTGTAGGAGCACAGTTCCCAAAAGAAGGAAGGTAATTCTTTACCCTGAGCAATAAACACCTTGTGTTGTGCAAACAATACAAACTTAATGCAGTGGTTTAGCACCGTGGAGGTGTGTTTCATCACTCTGCTGGGGTAACAGAGTTACAGATGCTGGAAGGCACCTCTGGAGATCATCTAGTCCAATCCCTTACTCGGAGCAGGAACACCTAGAGCAGGTTGCTCAGGGCCATGTCTGGTCAGGTTTTGAATATTTCCAAAGATGAAGAATCCACAACTTCTCTGTGCAACCATTCCAGTGTCCTACCCTCATGGTACAAATGTGTTTTCATATGTTTAAATGGAATTTTGTGTATCTCAATTTGTGCCCGTTGTCTCCTGTCCTTTCACTGGGTACCAGTGCTTATATTTAAGAATGCTGTTTTAAGAAAGATACTGCTTTTAACTCCTCTGTACATCAGAACTTAAACTTTTAGCTGTTTCCATTGGGATTATTGCATCCTTTAGTAAGGTTTCTTTAAGTCAGGAGCTGGGAAAGAAAGGACATTTCTGTTTTTCCTGCAAGATGCTTCCCACTACCTTGTTTTCAAGTCGGGAAGGTCTTGAGGGCTCTGACTTGATGGCACAACCCTGTGCTAGCTCCCTACTGACTCACGAAGTTGAGCTGAACTCTTGTGAATGACAGACCATGTTCTTAACAGGGACAGTGAGATTATTCGCTTGTATCACTGCAAAAATCACGCTCCTTCCCATTGAGTTGGCTTTTTTGTTGTTTTATGGAGCATTTTGGTATCTGTTGAGAAAGTTTTGTTTAAGAATGTGTAATAATGGTTTAGAACATGAAGTTACAGGACATGAAAAGAACAGCACCAAATTGTAATGTAACCACATGGATGCCCAGTCTGAAGTTAGTGCTTATGTTGGTGCTTTGCTGAGCAGAACTGAGCATTTTGTAGAAGGAGATGAAAAGTAAAAGAGTACCCAGCACAGACAAACATTTGTAGCTTTTGGGAGGCAGTCCTGCAGGGGCTTTCAAACAAAGGGATGGATATCAACATTAGCGAGAATATCAGTTTTTCACATTTTCAACCACTTCTTACTACACTCATAGTCTACAGAGTAAAACAACTGTGCTTGCGATTTTGGGGTGGTAGATATTTGCAAGCATAATTGGGTGTCCAAACACCTTTTAGCAGTGCAAGCCGGATAGTCTTTTATTTGACTCCAATACAGCACATAAGGCTGGTGTTAAACCATACCTTCTCCACCGAGGTTTGCAGGTGTTAAAAGGAGTTCTGGCTGAAGCCAGGTGGCAGGTATAACTCTCATTATGTACATAAAATTATAGTAATTTGGCTTTTTATGACATTTTCGCTT